GCTCTCCACCCCCCAAAGAAGAGGTATGCAAACTTTGCGCTATCTGGTTTTATCTCGCCTTTGAAGGATTCTAACTTGAGCTTCRGAGCCTTTACATCGGGTTCCTCCCGGAGCTTCCTCATCCTCTCTGTTTCAGGTTCCCTGCTGCTCAGTTCAGAGGCAAGGTCGTTGATAGCTAAGACCGACCGGATTGCGCACCATCTCTTAGTTTTATGACGAGCGTGTCATCGTGGGGGTAGCGAACACCCCGTGCGTCGTCTTCCGTGAAGAAGATTGGTTCTTCCGTCTTCGGCCTCTTTGGAGGGTTCTATTCTTCTCGGGCTGCTTCGCGAACTGACGTCCGGGCCGCCGCCGAAGTACAACCTGTTACCACCGAACATCCCACTATTACGTGGATGGTTCCCCGAGTTGGCCTCTGTTCCGGAGGCTGTCTTTGCGATGGTTCAGCTGGCCTGCTGCTGGATTCGGGAGCTTCCTTACTGTGCTCCCCTTGCCGGCATATCTTATCGTTATTATTATTATTATTATTATGTTGTACAAAATTTCTTAAGTACCCGCGACGGATGAGTCCCTCTATATCGCCCCGGAGATTATTACACTGTTCGTTACTATGACTGTGATCTCTATGGAAACTACAGTACAAATTTTTATTTCTCTCGTTTGGGTTCCCCTTTAGGCGAGGTGGCCACTTTACATATGGGGCGTCTTTGATCGTCATCAAGATCTTAGTCCGCCTTGTGTTTAAGGGTGTGTAGTCCGTCCGAGCTGCTAAGGGAGCTCGGGGCAGCTGGCTTGGCTTCTCCTCCCGGGCCGGGTTTTTTCTGTCACTTGGGTTGGAGGGCTCGCCTTCTCTTTTCCTTTTCTCGACCCCGCCTTCGGTCCTTTGATTGATCTCTTCCTCTGTTCTCATGAACTTGTCCGCGAGCTTGAGGAATTCGGCCACGGTCGCGGGCTGGCTGGCTACCATGTGCCATTTGAACTCCTTGTGTGTTACTCCTCTCTTGGCTGCCGCGAGCTGTACCGCGTGGTCCAGTCGCTATATCTGCAAACACGCGTCATTGAACCGCTTGATGTAGCCCCGGATGGTCTCTCCTTCCCTCTGAACCACTCCGAAGATGCTTTCCTCGGTTCTGGGGTACCGCTTGCTGGTAACGAAGTGTGCAGTGAAGACCTACATGAACTGGGTCCAGCTTCTTATTGACCCAGGGGCCAGGTTCCTGTACCAGGTGCGGGCCACCCCCCTGAAAGTGGTGGTGAAGGCCATGTACATGCACGACTCACTGGCCCTTGCCGGTTGAATTTGGGATTGGAAGGCATCGACGTGGTCGCTGGGGTCGAAGGACCCATCATACTTGTCTAAAGGGGGGAGTTTGAAGTCTCTGGGCATGGGGACTGCAAGGAGTTCTGATGAGAGGGGGGAAGGAACTAAGAGAATAGGGGCAGCTTTTACCTCATCCGAGCTTGTCTCTTCTTTACCTCTGAGCTCGGTTAGGACATGGGTGGCAGTTCGGCGACTTCGCCGGCGTCTTCGTTGAGTGGGCCTGGTACTGGCGCTGCTGGCCTTTGTGTTGCCAAGCTTGATGGGCCCGGAATGTTGGTAGTCCACTGCTAGGGCACTGAATCGGTTCTCTGTGAGCGGGAACTCAGTCTTGGAGCGCCGAGGTGTTGACTTTGCGGGCGAGGTTCCCGACCTGCCTGCGAGCTGCGAGGCGGGGGTGATTTTTCTTTCCCTTCGGCCCTAGGATGAGGCCTGGCTGTTAGGGGGGTTCTGAAGTTGGGAGGCTTCTCCTCGGTGATGGCATCCACCCTGGGGGGAAGCCTTGACTGGCTTTGGAGCAGGATGCCGCGGTGGAAGCTGCAGTTGGTTGATAGGTAGTTGGGGGAGCTGCTGCTGATAGTGATATTGAGAGAGGTGGTGCAATGCTTGGTGCTGCTGGAGCTGATGCATTTGGGCTTGCATTGCCCGCATGCGCTGCATCAGGTTGTCAAACTGGCTTTGACTAGTTGCCAGGGGGATAGCAGTTGGTTCAGTAAAGGTTGTTTCAATAGGGAGTGAAAAGGGGACATTCTTGGCGGGAAGGTTTACGGGCGCCATTGTTCGTGGCACATTCAGGCTAGGGATCCCATCCACCGGAAGGGGGATGGTGAACTGCCCGATGCACACCATGGGGACTTGAAGTTGTTCCCCGGTGGTGTTCATCTCCGTGCCACGTCCGGCGTTGCTGGAAGAAGCCATGAGTGTTGGGGTTTTTTGGAGAAAAAAGAGGTCATGAGAGTTTCAGAGGGAGGCTTTTGGAAGCTTTCCCACAGACGACACCAATTGATGGTGCGCAATCCGGCCGGTCCTAGCTGTCAACGACCTTGCCTCTGACTGGAGCAACAGGGAGCCTGAAACGGAGAAGATGAGGAATCTCCGGGGAGGAACCCGGTGAGATTACTCTGAAGCTCAAGTTAGTATTCTCTCAAAGGCAAGATAAAACCAGATGGCGCAAAATTCACATACCTTGTTCTTGGGGGGTAGGGAGCCTTTTATACCACTTCGCGCACTCACTCCTAAGCTTCTGTTAGGTCGGGTATGATTATTTCTGCGCTCCTGCCAGTTCGGGTGTCATTGCCTCTGTTGTGGCAGAACCGCCACTGCTCTTTTTGTCGGAGCCGTCTCTGCAACTGGAGATGGCGGTGGCAGGTGGCTGTTGAAGTGCGGCTGTCAAGTGTCAGATCCCAAGTTAGTCAGGTGCACCGCCCCTTGATACGGACTTCCTCGGTGTCAGGCATGGTACGGTTGTTCAGTCTAGCGTCCCTGAGGCGAAGTGCTGGAGTGGTGAGCGATGTGAAGTCTTGAGTTCGGATAGAGGTGTGTCCCGAACTGCCATAGGGCATGCCAGTTCGGGTTATTGCCCTTTGTTTGTAAGGCTCGGGGCCTAAGGAAGAGCTCGGGCTCATTGCGGGGAGTTCGGGCTCCTTGTAGGGAGTTCGGACCGCTGGTTCCTCCTTTCGGGGCTCATGCCTCGGACATGCTGCTGTGCCAAGTTGTTGCCGTTGCCACGTATCGAGTGATTATGAGGTTGGGCCAAATCTTCCTTCATCAAGTGCTATATCATTTTTGACATTATAATACCTTTTTGATAAATTTAGGGGTGTTCAGCAAGACAACAACACTAGGTTTTGTTGGTAAGGTCTGATTTGGTTAAAAATCAAGGAATTTTTAGATTGCATTTCCTCTCAAAAATCTTTTTTGCAGCTATCTCTTAATCTATTAATAGCCCCCCTATAAATCACATCCTAACTATGAATTTAGCATCAATCCACGGGCTGAATTCAATCCAGCCCTAAAAAATCCTAACTCCACCTAAGAGTGGACTGAATGATATAAACCCCTAGAATCAAATCCCGCCTGTCCTAGGGTTTCGGGTTTATGGGTTTTGGGATGGACTGCCCGTTACCCTCATTGTTTCCCATGAAAAAAAATAAAAAAACACGATAGTAAAAAACAAAATCAAACAGTTGTTTTATTTTGAAAAGTAAAATCATCTGGCACCGATTAACTTTTTTTCCCACTCACCGACAGGTCCGACACAAGGATCGTGTATAAGACCATAACTCACCGTTGTCCGCAACAGGTAATCATTTTGTCGTAAATTGTCATTTGGAAAATGAGGCTGGTGCATTGTGGTCATTTCGTGACAAGTCAAGCGTGTGCAATGGTTTTACTCGCTAAGCTGGACCTGGACGAAGAAATAAATCCAGTCTCTGGGCCTCTTCCCTCCTCCGTTCCAAATCCCATAAGCCTCGTGCCCTCGTGGGTTTCGTTGTTGCAGAAACCAGAAATCTCTCACAGAGAGATTCGTCTCTCTTTATCTCTCTTTATATGTATCTGCTTTAACAGGTCTGGTCGGTTTTCTTTTACAGCTGAAACGGTTCTCTCTTAAGCTTTTTTTCTTTTCATATTCCTTGCATTCGTATTGTTATTATTTCTAGCCTAGAGAATTGCCTCTCATTAGTCATTTTAACAGTTAGATCCGTATACAACTTCTAAGATTCAACTTATATATCTGCTCTGAAATCCAATGCCCACTTGAAAGATCCCAAAGATTTGGCTTTCATAACCTATTTTCTGATCTGGGTGACTGGGTTCCTTGCAGATCTGAGAGATATTCGGCAGAAACTGTTAAAGATGAGATTTTCCCATCAATTTGCGATCTGGGTCTTGTTTTCGCTCTTACTTCTTCAATCTGGAGATGGGTTTTATCTTCCGGGTAGTTACCCTCACAAATACCAGGTCGGCGACCAGTTGTCGGTGAAGGTGAATTCTCTCACCTCCATCGATACTGAGATGCCATTCAGCTATTACAGTCTTCCCTTCTGTAAGCCTCTCGAGGGTGTTAAGGACAGTGCCGAGAACCTGGGTGAGCTTCTCATGGGAGATAGGATCGAGAATTCTCCTTACAGGTTTAAGATGTACACTAACGAAACCGACATCTTCCTCTGCCGAACCGACCCCTTATCAGCTAATAACTTCAAGATTTTGAAGAAGAGGATCGAGGAGATGTATCAGGTCAATCTGATACTCGACAACCTTCCCACCATTCGGTACACCAAGAAGGACGGCTATCTACTCCGGTGGACTGGTTACCCGGTCGGGATCAAGGTTCAGGACTTGTATTATGTCTTCAACCATTTGAAGTTCAAGGTTCTGGTTCACAAGTACGAGGAGACCAATGTGGCTCGGGTGATGGGCACTGGAGATGCAGTTGAGATGATTCCCACAATCGAGAAGACTGGATCGGGTACACCAGGTTACATGGTTGTTGGGTTTGAGGTTACCCCTTGCAGCTACCAACACGACCCAGAGGCGGTAAAGAAGGCGAAGATGTACCAAAAGTACCCATCACCGATCAACTGTGATCCCTCAACTGTAGCAATGACTGTTAAGGAAGGTCAGCCTATTGTGTTCACCTATGAAGTCGTATTCGAGGAGAGTGATATCAAGTGGCCTTCAAGGTGGGATGCCTACTTGAAGATGGAGGGGTCGAAGGTTCACTGGTTTTCGATCCTCAACTCTTTAATGGTTATCACTTTCCTTGCCGGAATTGTCCTCGTCATCTTGTTGAGGACCGTCCGGAGAGACCTTACCCGGTACGAGGAGCTTGACAAGGAGGCTCAGGCCCAGATGAATGAGGAATTGTCTGGGTGGAAGCTTGTTGTGGGGGATGTTTTCAGGGCTCCAAGCAATCCTGCACTGTTGTGTATAATGGTAGGGGATGGGGTTCAGATTCTTGGAATGGCAGTTGTGACAATCTTGTTTGCTGCCCTGGGATTCATGTCTCCAGCTTCTCGTGGGACACTCATCACAGGTATGCTGTTCTTCTACATGGTGCTTGGAATTGCTGCTGGTTATGTTGCTGTTCGGCTTTGGAGGACAATTGGGTGTGGTGATTACACAGGATGGGTTTCTGTTTCATGGCGTGTTTCCTGCTTCTTCCCTGGTATTGCTTTCCTGATACTAACCACTCTCAATTTCCTTTTGTGGGGTAGCCACAGCACAGGGGCCATTCCAATTTCTTTGTTCGTTATTCTCATTCTGCTCTGGTTCTGCATCTCAGTACCCCTTACTCTTGTGGGTGGGTATCTTGGGGCCAAGGCACCTCACATTGAGTACCCAGTTCGAACCAATCAGATCCCTCGGGAAATTCCATCTCAGAAATACCCATCTTGGCTATTAGTCCTAGGAGCTGGAACCCTCCCATTCGGCACCCTCTTCATTGAACTCTTCTTTATAATGTCTAGCATTTGGATGGGACGTGTTTACTATGTTTTTGGCTTCCTGTTCATCGTTTTGATCCTTCTCGTTGTGGTCTGTGCTGAAGTATCTCTAGTTCTGACATACATGCACCTCTGTGTGGAAGACTGGAAATGGTGGTGGAAGTCCTTCTTTGCCTCTGGTTCAGTTGCCATCTACATCTTCTTATACTCCATAAACTACCTCATATTTGATCTCAAGAGTCTGAGTGGCCCTGTGTCCGCCACTCTTTACTTGGGCTACTCACTTTTCATGGTTCTAGCAATTATGCTTGCAACTGGTACAGTTGGGTTCCTTTCCTCTTTCTGGTTTGTTCATTATCTATTCTCTTCAGTAAAACTAGATTAAGCCTTCCCACCTTGAGAAGCATTCTTTCAAGAGCAATGGTGGAGATACATGGAAGCATGCAGCGTGAATCCTGATCATGGCCTTTTGAACTTCTGTACCTTCTATCTTGGGTTCATTCTGTTGTTCAGAAACTTGGTGAAGGTAATAATAGCCTCATCCAGTTTTGGTTGAATTTCTTGTTAGATAATTGCTGCACAATACGGTTGTTTACTTGCATTTTGAGGGATAGGAGTAGCGGCAGTTATTGGTAGTCAGGTGTATTGCTTCTTTTTATTTCCTTTTCTTTCTTTTCTCTATATTTGGTTATTGAAAAGAAAAGTTTATGACTTCATGTATGAATTGTAATGCAGAAAATCATGGATCTTCAGTTTATGATCCACAGTTACCTTCTGATTTCTGTTGTTGAAAATTCTATATTAAACATGTGAATCTTCAAGAACAAATTGTATCTAGGAAATGATGTAGCAAACTGGCAATTTGCAACAAATGATTGTGGTCACATTGTCATTATCTAAACCCCTTGTGATGGATTTCAGATTAATTGGTTAAATTAGGTTAAAGCTCCCGCATCATTTCTATGGCCAATTATGCAGGCTAGGCTACTGCAAGTGGTGAATGGTCAGATTCATAGTTTAGTATTCATGTATGCTTTACCTGTGGAAGACATACCATCAAAAGCATTTTGCAAATCTGAGTAATGCTTCTGCTTCATGGCAGGTACCAAGTAACTAACCAGTTGCCCTAATTCATTGTTGTTATGCTGTTGAAATTCGCTAGACAGTCTTTAAGGTGCCAAGGCAAGGCGACTGGGGGGCGCCTTGTCACCTAGTTGCCTAGGCGATGGATTTTTTTATGTTAAAAACATAAATCCTAGGGTAGTTCCCTAGGTACCATAACCATATTTCTTTAATAATTATTCATGATTTTCCTAAGAAAAGTATATATTGAAGTATAGAAAATCAACATATTCATGAGAAGAAAAGGAAGAAGGAAATTTCAAAAAATATAGGGGCTGAACCCTTATTTTTGTTATAGGAAAAGAAGAAAATAAAAAGTATTGGTGGTAGTAGTAGTAGTAGAAGAAGTAGAAGTAGTAGAAGAAGAATATATGGAAGAGGAAAATGTACTGATTAGATAAAATTTTAAGTTCTTCCTTATTGGTTCAGGTTTTTAAGTCTTTTAGGGTTCAATACAGCATTTAGCAATGTTTGTGTTGATTAAGCCCTAATAAATAAGAAAATAATAAAAAGAAATTAGTATATAAACACACAAAATGATTATTTTAGTTTAATAATGTCTATTTTATAATTATAATCTCAAAAAAGAATGTATAAAAAAGTATTTTATAGTAGGAAGTAGAAAACTGTTTGGCGATTAGGTGAGGCGAGCCTCAAAGGGCGCCTTGTCGCCTAGGCATCGCCTTAACAACTATCTCACTAGACTTGGAAATCATCAATCCCTGCAAACCTTCAGCTGACCCCTCATAGCATTTATTTTAGGACATTAAGATTAAGAAACAACCTATTTGGAAGATTATTTTTTGGTGAGACCTATTTAGAGAATTTTTAACACTAACAGTTACGAAAAACATTCTAATCTCATGTGATGCATGAGAAAGGGAAATTTGTAATTCTTTATTGGGGTAAATTGCTTGTCTCCCACAAGTTAGATCTCCCCCTGGGTTTACCTATTAACTTTATAACACCCTCTGCAATTTCGGCTTAGATGCTTATTCCGCCTCTTCAGTAATGTGCCATCAATCTATTGACAGTGTTTTCATGACATTTGGGACTTTCAAAAGTATATATCTTTTAGAGTGATAAATTTGAAAAAATAAAACGTTGGGAAATGGGAATGAAATAAAATAAAAATTTGAGATAATAAAAAACTGTATTTAATATTTATAAACAAGGTCACTTTTATCAATTCTAGAATATATATTTGTAAGGAAAAATTAATAGTTTTCTATTAAGAGTATTTTGGTAAAATATCTATTCCTGGCTTAATTCTTTACCTTCTCTTCCATTGACAAACACCCTGTGTATTTCATGGTCGAAGGGGTACAAGTTAATAGGTATATCCGAGGGGGGAGGTATTAGTATTTAATTAAAACCCCAGAGGTATTTATTACTTGACAGAGATTCTGTATGCATTCACTACCTGTTAATAGGTATATATATCCGAGACGTAACTTTAACCAGGCCGCTCTTTTCTTTTTTCTGGAGTTTAAACGTTTCGTTATTGGGCTTATGAGAAAGGATAATAGTTGACCTGACAAACAGGAAATTGAAATTTTAACTGAAGCGAATCATGGAGGATCCATTTGGTAATGCTCCTCAGTTGGGTAAAGATCCACTAAAATGAAACAGTTGACTAACAACCCACTGGTGGAGTTTGGATCTGCTGACCACAACACATCGCTGGATTTTGATATATTGATGTCGGTGGCTAGAGCTGTATCCAAAATGGGCAATGGACTTGTGGGAAATGGTTGGTTTTAGATCCATTAAGCATTGACCCATAGTAATGACACATGCCTACCAATACCAAACTTGGTATAAAGAAAAATGGATTATGATCATGGTTAATATACTAAAAAAATTAGGTATACAATACAAACAAAAACTGGCATGCAGAACTTTGTGGAAATGGGAAGAATTACAATTTCAATTACCTGTAATCTAGTAAAAGCAATCTATTCCATAAGATAGAAAATGAAGAACAGAATTACCCGTTACAAACCCAACAACCATGGCGTAAGAACAAGTCCCTCTGCTTCTCTGTGGGAACAAAACCACCTGGTGGAACAACCATCCTAAGAGATGGCCTTGAAAATATCATCCATGCCAAGATATCAGCGCTCACTTTGCAACATTTCTTCAAATTCAGCTCCCTTAACCCCTTGCAGTTCCCTACCATCTCCTTCACCCCCTTCGCGGTCACTTCCAGACAACCTTCCAGGTCCAAGCACAGTAATCTACGACAACTCTGGCTGACCATCGACAACCCTTCATCGTTCATCCCCGATCCAGCAGCTCGCAGAGACTCCAATTTGGAAAATCCCATGGTCGTTCCGAGATTTGCCATTTCTTTACACCCATTCACCTTTAGCTCCATAATCCCGATACAACTAGACCCTATTGCTTCTATTCCTTTCTCTGTGATGCTCCAACAATGGCTCAGGTCAAGCGATCTCAGGTTAGGACAAACGATGCCAACCTTCTTCAGTGTTGTGTCGCTTAGACACTTGTTCCAAGCCAATTTCAAAGTCCGAATTTGATTGTTCTTCCTTAATTCTGTACTGAACTTCTCTTCTCCTAGACTCGTTCTTTCCATTCGGATTTCTTCCAGTGAAGGACAGTCTCTCGCGAGGTTGAACAGAGTCGAATTTGTCAAGTGAGAGCAAGAATTTAGATTGATGAAGGACAAGTTCTGGAGGTACTGGAATAATTCCGTAATGGACTGGTCGGTCAAGAAATCTGCTCCTCCTATATCTAAGTAGTTCAGAGATCGGTATGCACTCAGAAGGGATGATATTCCGACGTATGTATATCCTCGGCAACGGGATAATGCGAGCTTCTGCAATGGAAGATTAGCTTTGAACATTGAATGGAGTAGATCATCTGAAAGGGCCATTTGAGAGAACTCGATAGTGCACAAAGCTTTGGCATAAACGAGGGAGCTTTCAACTGTGAAGGAAGGAGACATAGAAGTTGAAGGAAGAGAGAGCTTGTTTCCGTTGATGGCCAGTGAAATCAAATTCGGACTGTGCCGGATTAACCATCCGATGCCATTTTGGCTTATGAAACTGCAATCAAATGCCGCGATTTTTCTCAGAAACTTACAATTGGATGAAAGAGCGACAAGAGATCGATCCGAAATTAAATGGTTTCCGGAGATGTTTATTTTCTGGAGAGAAGAAAGCTTCGACGATAACACCGTAATCCCCGCATCGGTGACCATACCTGGAAAAACAGAATCTTGTTCAGCCGAAGAACCGAAATCTTGCTCGGGATAACTGATATCTAGTTCTTCAAGTGACGGGAATGAATCGGCAATAGCAATCAGATCGCTGTCCTGCAAGAAGCAAAGTCTCGAGCAGATTAGAATCCTCAGAGACCTCATCTTTGCACCCAATTCCTCCAAGCTTCTGGTAGGGACTCTTCTCTGCTTGGACATATTGAGAACTTCAATCTTCAATCCAGACCGCGCGATCTCGCGAACAAGGCGATCTAGATCGCCATGGAAATCGACGAGATCTATCCGTTTGATCCCACGAAATCTTTGGAGGAGACTAGAAACGCCTCGGTGAAGTTTAATTGTGGGATTGGAGATCGTCAAACGGGATCGAAGCTGATTGGAGATGGAAAGAAACCGCTTGCAAACCAAGGAGAGGGCTTCGAAGTGTTGGTGATGGTCGAGGCGATTGAACACCGATTCCCAGCATTCCTCCGGCAAATCTTGACACCACTCCTCCATTTTCTCCTGTGACGGGGCTGAAACTCCGTTAGGGTTTCTTCGGTACCGGAGGAGGAGAGAGAAACCACCTTTTTATGGGAACTAGTAGCCGTTAACCGGTGACTAGTGGTGGTTATTTTGGGGGAAGGGAGGATTCGGATTTTAATAGTAGTGGATGCGGAAGTACCGAATATTTTAATGGAAAGATTTAGATATCGGTGTTTTTGAAATTCAAATAGCACATTGGACCTGAATGGGTATCACATTCACACATTCCCTTCATAGGTGGCTCAAAGCCTCAAGCCTGAGTCCCACTTCATCTGACTATTGCCACGTGGAAAAATGTAGGTAAAGGTTGTTTTGACAGAGCGCGCCTGTGTGAGATCAGAGTGACCAAGTGAGGCGCGCTCAGTGAGGAGCACTGAGCAGATCCGATCTCAGATTAAGGAGGGCATTTTTGTCTGCCACCTCTGTTACACGTTTGCAACTCCTCCAAAGCAGGATATTCAGGACGACTCTTTTGATATCTTTTGAAGGAGACCTTATCAACCAGCTGGTTGGCGTCTGCGTCTTGCGGATATTCAGGGATAACTTGATGATTATGTTTTTTGGGACTCTATCTACAATTCTACGGTGTATAATTTATATATTTTATTTTATTTCTGAAAAAATATATATATTTTTTTATTTTTTAATTTTAAGTCATTTTTGAAACAATTAATTAGATGCACTTTTCCAATAATATAAATAATTTCTTCTCTTAAAATTTTTCCTAAATTAATTCTTATTTATCTTATAAATTATCTCTAATTCCTATTTATCTCCAAAATTATTTCTAATTTATTACAGATTTTTTTTCTAAATTATCTCTAATTCCTATTTATCATCTACCCCAATTTTTATCTATATCTTTCTAATGAAAGTTTGGGTTAAAAAATTTAAGAATTATTTCAATATTCGAACAAAGTTCTATAATAACTTCAAAATATTTATTAAAAACGCAAAAAAAATAATTTTATATTTTTACAAAATATATCACGAAATTATGTACTAATAATTTAAATTCTGTTTTTCCGGATTATCATTTTAAATGTTATTCAAATAATAAAAAATAAAATAATAACAAAATATTTAGTAATATGTAATAGCTTTAATTATAACATAGTATTGAAATTAATAATAATTTAATATCTTACGAAATTAATAATCAAATTATGTAATAATAGTATAAAATATAATTTTATGGATTATTAAATTCAATAAATAATTAATATTTTAAAATTCAAATATTTTACATATTATTTAAGTATTTAAATAACTAAATATTTTAAATAACAAAATCTTTAACATAACTATATTTTAAATTAGTTAAAATATAAAGTTATGTAAATAAATTTAAAAAATCTGAAAAGTAGAAAAATAATTATAACATAATATTTAAATTAATAAAAATTTAATATTTTACAAAATTAATAATGAAATAACTTTAATGATAATTTAATGTTTTTACATAACATTGTAAATAAATAATTTCACTTATATCAATTAATAATTTAAGAAAATAACTTTCACAAAAATTAATATTTATTAAAAATAATTTTAAACTCTTAATATATATCTATTATACAATTATATATACTAATATTAATATTTATTGTATTTCAATAATTATTTATTATTTTTTGTGATAAATGTATTTTCAATAATTATGTATAAATTTATTTTTGTTTTTTTATTTAACAGAAAACTTTCAATAATTATTGGGTTTAAACTACTGTTATTGAAAATTTTAAATTACTATTGTATTTATTTATTTTTGTTAAAACTTATTAATTAATATTTATTAGAGATTAAACAATTATTTGAGATTATACTATATATTAACTAATTTAATATATTTTTAGTACTTAATATCTTTTTCCAATTATTGTATTTGAGATTATCATTTCTGAAATAACTAATGAGATGTTCTTTGTCGATAACCTAAATAATCTCTTCTCCTAAAATTTCTCCTAAACTACCTCCCCCACTTTCTCCTAAATTATCTATAATTCCTATTTATCTCCTAAATTATCTCTAATTCCTATTTATCCTCAACCCCACTTTTTATCTATATCTTTCTAATGAAAGTTTGGATTAAAAAAATTGAGAATTCTTTAAATATTTGAACAAAATTATATAATAACTTCAAATATTTATTAAAAACAAGAAAAATAATTTTATATTTTTACAGAATACATCACAAAATTATCTACTAATAATTTAAATTCTGTTTTTCTAGATTATCAATTTAAATGTTATTCAAATAATAAAATATTATTTAAATATTTGAATAAATAAATATCTTAAATAACAAAATATTATAAATATCTAAAAAATTATATAACAAAATATTAGTAATATGTAATAGCTTTAAATAAATAAAATTTAAATAACAAAAAAATTTAAATATTTTATATATTATTTAAACATAACTAGATTTTGAATGGTTAAAATAACGAAATTATGTAATAAATTTAAAAAAAAAAATCAAAATAATTGTAACATAATATTGTATTAATATCTTACAAAATTAATAATGAAACTATGTATTAATAGTATCAATTATAATTTTATGGATTACTAAATTTAATAAATAACAAAAATTTTAAATATTTTATATATTATTTGAATATTTAAATAACTAAATGTTTAACATAACTAGATTTTAAATAGTTAAAATAACGAAATTATGTAATAAATTTAAAAAATTTCTTAGAAGTAGAAAAATAATTATAACATAATATTGAAATTAATAATAATTAATATCTTAAAAAATTAATAATGAAATTATATATTATATAAATTATAAATTTTATGGATTATTAAATTTAATGAATAATTAATATTTTACATATTATTTAAGTATTTAAATAACAAAATATTTAACACAACTAGATTTTAAATAGTTGAAATAAAGAACTTATGTAATAAATTTAAAAAAAATTGAAAAGTAGAAAAATAATGATAATATAATATTGAAATTAATAATTATTTAATACTTTACAAAATTAATAATAAAATAACTTTAATAATAATTTAATATTTTTGAGGAATATTGTAAATAACTAATTTCACTTATATCAATTAATAATTCCAGAAAATAGCTTTCAAAAAAATTAATATTTATTTATAATAATTTTAAACTATTAATCTATATTTACTATATAATTATATATATATTATTTTTTGTGTTAAATGTATTTACAATAATTATGTATAAATTTATTTTTGTTTTGTTATTTAACAAAAACTTTTAATAATTATTGGAGATTAAACTACTATTATTGAAATTTTTAAATTTTGTTTATTGTACTTATTGTATTTATTGTATTTTTGTTATAATTTATTAGAGATTAAACTATTATTTACAATTATACTATTTATTGACTAATTTAATACATTTTTAGTACTTATTGTATTCATGTAATTATTGTAATTATTGTCTTTTTCGTTATCAATATATATTTTCAATAATTGTGTATTTTTGCTATAAATTTTCAATAATTGTTGGAGATTAAGCTATTGCTATTTATCAGAGATGAGACTATTAATTTAGCTGAAGTTATGAGTGTTAATGAGTTGGTTTCGTTTGGTCACAAGCAAGCCGATTTGACTATTTGTGAAAATCGACTCACTTAGGTTGTATCGATTTGGGTCAATTTTTTTGTTTGGTGAGTCGATTAAAAAGATTTAAACTTAAAAATTAAATTTATGATATAAAACATTTTAGACTAAGAAATATGGGAAAATTTCCACTTTTCCATCTTAAAAATTACATTTAAAATATAAAATATTAAATGTAATCCATGGTTAAGTCATTCGATTTTGGTCGGTTTACAAATGGCCAAAGCGAAACTAATCCAACTTGGTTGAGTTGGGAAATTTGCCAACTCGGGTCAATTTGATCGGGTTGGTCAGTTTTATCATTTTGATGAATAAACCTAATTGAAATTAACTATTGTTACTTTTGTATCATAAAAAATTTATTAAAAGTAGTATATAAAATATGAATATATAATTATTAACTATTTAAAATGTTGAAAATATAAAACAATTATACACTCTTATGTGTGTTTCTATTTATGGTCATTTACTAGAACACACCTTATAGTTTTACATATTTACTTAAGCCTACTTTACAACTTTCATTTTACTAAAACATCCCATATATTTTACAACTTATTTACTTAATCAACCTTTTCACTAAGGAGTGTTTGTTTTGCCATTAGTCTCATGATTTTTTATTCAAAAAATATCCTTAACACCTTTTTGTACAGAAAACAAAATTGACCAAATATAGCCAATAGAGTGGTTGTCCGTGTCTTATTAAGGGCAAAAATAGTATTTTTATTTATTTTTAATAAATTTATTTAAATGAACATTAGGGTCAACATTGTCATTTTCCACTATTATCTAATGGAAAATTGATTAAATCCATTGCAAATTATAAGTAGTGCTTTTGTAAAATACAAACTATAGGATAAATTTTAGTAAATCCATGAAACTACAGGGGGTGTTTTAGTAAATGGCACTTTCTATTATTTAGCTTTTACTTAATAAGTCCCATGCGTTGCTTGGGTCTCCGCTAGTAACAATTAAGAGGATGAGATGTTCCCCATCTGTGACTGCGATGCTATGTGGGTAGGAAATCCGGACTATGTTTTTTGAACCAGTGGACAATTCAGATTTTAGAGTGGCCAATCTGAGTCTTTGGTACCAGTCTGGATTTGTGAGCGTTCCTTACACCGACCTCACAGTATGTATCAACTGCTGAGTTGTACGTTGGAAACATCTTCTGTACTTGCATATTATTAATAGGAGGTCGGGATTTCCTACTCACTTTTCCTACCCACTCTCTACCCTTAGTGAATTGCTGTCATACATCTCTATTATGAATTAAGAGATGTGTGGCTCAAATTCATAGCGGGTAGAGAGTGGATAGGAAAAGTAAATAGGAAATTTGGGCTCCCCAATAGGCCAATACAGGGCAGGATGTAACGTTGCGCATATGCAGACTGGGGTGCAGTAGTGGAGCTTTGGGCTGTGGCATGTGATTAATAAAAACGATTAAAAAAGTATTTTGAGCATTTTAGATAGGGCTGCAAATAAGTTGGATCAAATTCAAGTTCAATTAAATAAAGAGATAAATTTGAATGCTTCCATTGATCTTAACAAATTGGAGAAGTCGATTTATTTAGTTAATGGGTCAAATTTAGATATGCCCCGAGCCGATCCATCAGACCTGATCCCATTCGTTAGTTATAAAAATGTATATATTATGTTCTATATATTATTTATATTATTATATTATATAAATAGCATAATATATTATTTATATTATATCATAATCTTTTATTACAATTCTAATTGAATCGGATTTGAATAGGATATCTGATAAAATATATGAATTTGATTTCGAGTCATGCTTTTGAAAATCCAATAGATTCTTATTGGAATCGGATCGATCTCTTATCAGATTGAATCGAATATGTAGGCAAACAATAGAAATGCTTTTAAAAGCATAAATGGAATCGTAGGTTGGATTATGCACTGTTGGTGCTAATTATTCCCCTGCTATATAAAA